ACTTCACCTTCATTGAGGTATAGCTGACTGTAACATATTTTCAAGTATACATCGTGGCGATTTGATATACTATCTAGATGTGAAAGGTCCCTCTCCCCCATCTTGTTAATTATGGGCAGTTCTTAATGTAACTCCCACCTGTCACAACTGAGATCATGTTTTGCTGGAACATTCCCACATTTTATCATCCAGAGCAGTAGTTTTCAAAGTGTATTTCCTGGACCAGCCGCACCCAGTGTCGCCTGAGAATTTGTTAAAGATCCCTGGCAGAAATTCAAATTCTTGGGACTAGCCCAGATGTACTGAATCAGAAATTCTGGGAGTGGGGCTCTGCAACCTGCATTTTCCCAGATTTTCCAGGTGATCTGATGCACACGAATGGACTGGCTCAGAGCCGTAGAGGGCGAAATCTAGAGGTTAAGGGTACTAGTGTCTGCAACTGAGAAGAGCAGGGCTTGATGCTGCTCTTACTATTTTCTTTTTTTAAAAGATTTTGTTTATTTAATTTTTAGAGAGAGAGCGAGCATGAGAAGGAGGAAAGCCAGAGGAAGAGGGAAAAGCAGACCTCTCGCTGAGAAGGGGCCAGCCAGCATGGTGCTCGATCTCATGACCCTGAGATCATGACCTGAGCGGAACCCGAGAGTCAGACGCTTAACTGACTGAGCCACCCAAGCCCCACCAACCCCCCGAATACCCAATCCAACTTGATAGATGAACCACAGATGTAAGGGATGTGAAGAAAAATACGAGATTCTGACAAGCAGTTCAAAGCAATGTCAGAAGGAACACGGGAAATATATGGCCAAATGTTTCCCTTTAAATCACTTCTGCAAGCCCAGTGTCTACCTCCTTCTGGCCACCGCCAGTTCCAAGTCCTTCTGTCCCTTTTTCACCTCTGGTGAATTCTTAGCAAATCACTGCTTTTGAAGATCAAGCAAGTAATATCTGTTGCATTTTCTATAATGTTCTATGCCTGCTTTTATAGAGTTCATATTATTTGATCTTCATAATTCTGTAAAGTTTAACCTACTGGGAAATTTCTGTGTCAATTTAGAACCTTCTAATAAAGTCCTTAAGTTAACAACCACTGTTTGCAAGTAGACTGTATGAGGCACTTTTATATAACATTATTTCTAACCCCTACAACTCAGCAAGCTACCCCAAGATAGCAAATGTATTCAACTTAAGAATATAGAAAATGTATTAAAACATAGACCATAAATTGCATTAAAATGCAACATTAACTATTTCATGAAGTATGTTAAATCTTGCATAGATTTAATATGGTGCTATTTATTATAAAATGCGATGATATTGTGAGAGAGAAGGCTTCATTCCGCAGTAATGAGGGTGAGGGGAAGGGAAGGACAATATATGACTTCAAAAATTCCTGCCCTAAAAAGAGTCTTTGTTGTTTTTCTACAATTCTCTATAATATGAGCGTTATACTTATACTTTCTCCTGAAAAATCTAACATTACATTCAAAATAAAAATAGTTCAATAGAACTCGCAAGTTCTAAAACATGATAATTATTTTATAACTGAAAACAAGTGGTACCAATACAGTCCCCCCATTCTTGCGCATTTCCTTGTTCCAGCTGCACGAGCTGCTCACTCGACAGGTGGTTTCTGTGGGACTCGAACATCTCAACCACGCTGGCCTCTATGTTGTCTTCATGGCTAAGGCCACTTGCAGAGGTCACGTTTTACTGAATCCATAGTTTTGTTTGGGGGGAGCCGTGAGTTTTGGGACCACCCGTGGGACAGATCCTCTCCCATACGGCATTCTCCACACTCTCATGGTATTACAGACTCACTTGCTTATGCTCGTCTGTGCGTTAGTTGACTGAGGAAGCTGACAAGACCTTCCTCACAGTCACTAAGCCTCCGAAGAGGCCACCTTGATCTACTGACTGTGAACTACTTTTCCATCAGATGATAAGAGAAATCACCCAAATTTACAGGCTAGTCTGGGGCATTATCTAGATATCTAGGGTACAGAACTTCTCAACAAAAGGGCAGAAAACCTAAGTGAGCCGTCCCTGAGAACTGCTCCTCCTTGTCCCAGGCTTTCCATTGGGTCACCAAATTGCTCTCCAATTAGCTCAGGATCAGGTCTGGGGAGCCCTGGGATTTTCAGAATAGTAGGCAAGTAAACGCCTCAGTGTAAAGTAGCCCTCAGCACAGCCTCAAGTGATATTTTAGCTGCTTGAACCCGGAGCCCTGTTTTCCTTCCACAGAAATGCAAGTCTTTTCCGGCAACCCTTCCTAATCAAATTCTGTCTCATCAACTGAAAACGGTCTCCGTAAGGGAAGTCAGTATGGCAGGAGACTTGTAAGATTTGTATGTGTCAGAAATGACACCTTCCCTGTTCTTCCTAGTGCTCTGCAAACTCTCCGTCTCTCGGAATCTCACAAACTGTTGTTTACCAACCCACTAAAAATGTCCATTTCAAAACTGTGACTTCTTCGAACCACGAGTCTTCAGTCGTGTGGTTTCTAAAATGTCTTAGTGCCCACTGTGAACCTGCTTCTGATCCTACAACCACACAGACTCAAAGGGTTTCCGACCAAATATTTTTATGATAAATCAATTTACTAGCACTTAGAAGTATAAGTGCTTGACAATCATTAAACAAATATTTTCTTGACTTTGTGTGGCAGCAGGTAAAAGGAATGGCTCCAAGCACCCCTACATTCAAACAACTCTTCATCTTTGTCAAATTGCCTTAACACCTCAGAGTTCACATTTAACTAACTGAGGAACAGCTTCATTTTCCTTTGGCATTTTTCACTGTTTGACTTCTTTCCATAGGTCTTTGGTACAGGTCGGAAACCTGTAGAAACATGCACTCCCGGCACGTGCATTTCTAGAACTTTGGAAGGAAGGTTTAACACATTTTTGTTTTGTAGTTTTTCCTCCTGCTTGGTTCTGCTCTGGGTTTGCTGTGTATTCAGCAAAACAGAGGACTTAATCAATTTTTCAAAAAAGGCAAGAACAAAGAAAGTGAAATAGGACCCGAGGGAGAAAGGAAAGAAGAGAGAAGTAGGCAAGATAAACTTTCAGCTACACACTGACCCAAGAAGTAAAATTCCAAGAACAGAGTTCAAGAGCATGGCCACCTGCCTGCTTCAAATGTTCCCAGAATCACAGAAAATTCCAGGCACTCTGAAGACGCTCTGTGGACACTGCGACAATGCAGGCTCCTCGCCCACTGTGGCAGCTTGCCTGCGGCGGCTGGCGGTGCGAAGCTAAGAGCCCATCATCGTTTTGAAGACCCAATACAGAAAAAAAAGTGTCGTGAACAAAAAAAGGAAATCTGTCTGGACTGACAAAGCTGGTTCAACGTTAAAAAAAAAAAAAAAAGGGAACAACACTGCCAGCCGTACGAAGCACGCACCAGGAGAAGTGTGACTCCTAAGTTCTGAAAGTCAGCTACACACACGGCGAAGGTACTAACGTTTTCCACAGAGAGAGACAGCCACGCTTCCCAAACCCATTTCCAAGTGGGAGTGCAGCGAGACTAGCCCATTGCGAGAAACCACCTACATTAGACGCCGGGCTGTTTTTCAATCAAGTCTGGTTAGCTTGGACTCTTAACCGCCGGGTACCAGGTCCTTAGGAAGATCACGGATTTCTGGACTGAAGTAACTAGGGAAATGCTGTATACACTGCTGTAAACCGATTGTTAATTAAATGTGCGAGAATAAGTGTTCACATATCACATATTTGGCAAATCAAACAGACATATGTGCAAACAAAAACGAGTCACGCTTTCTCATGTATATATCTAATACAAAATATTTACGTGAGTTGATAACATTGTGCTTTGGTAGATCTCATGTGTATGTACCTGCACCCCAACCTCTGTATGATGTGGTCTGCCCTTCTCCTAGGGTTTCAAAGGGCAGAGGCTTGCTTTTCTCTGAGAGAAGGTACCTGGAGCAACTCACCAGTGGGACAACATCAAGGATGTCTTGGACAGACCCTCTCAAAATATTTGCTTACAGCCCTTTCCCCTGCTTTCAGATCAGCTGAGAACTGGAAAGTTAAGAAAGTTACAGAAGCATGGCTTTTTCTATTCTGGTGTTATGCATCAATAACTTCTTAATTCTCTATGGCTTATTAGTACCTTTAAAAAGAGGGGAAAAAGCCCAGTTTGCTGCCAAAACCCTGGGAATCAGATGGGGGTGGCAGGGGGACCTGCGATCCACAGATAATCGAAAATCCCCATCGTCTGGAGTGTGGAGCTGGTGGGACTTTTGCTTTCATATTCATAGCATGACAGTAAGAGCTTTCCATATGTGAGGATGACAACCAATTATGTTTGCACAAGTACAGAATCATTATAGAGAGTGGAAAATGGACCAAAATCTGGGCTAACAGAGTAAACAAAAAAAAAAACAAACAACTTTCTTATTGCGTATTAATCCTTTCCTAGTTTTCATTACATAGGTGAAAATTTCCAAATATAGAGTCACCTGTTCTTCAAACATGGGCAGAAGGACACTGGTCTGGGAGTGCCTTCCCCTCACCCCACCCAGTAGCTGACAAGCCCTTCTTACAAGGTGGCTGACTGATGTGAGACTTTTCTTAGAGACCTGGGGCTTCCTTTTGAAATGCAAACATGACAATAACTGTTCCATTAAGAAACCCACATGCAGCCTGTTACTTGAGTAAGGGGGAAACACTTCCTTTGGGTCTCAATCAAGTTAATAAATTTAAGATACCTGGGAGAGCCGGGCACACTGGACTTTTGGCAGAAGCCCAGAACTACAAGAGCTAATGTATTATTTTACTGTGTCTCTTAGGAGAAAAAACAGTCTTCTGCCAACTCAGCTCAGCAATCAGATGGGAAGTGGGGAGGGGGCAACTTGTAGCTCGTTGAGAAAGCAAACTACAGATGATCTTAGGAGAACTATTCTCATGTGAGTGTTCCCTTGAGCCAGAGCGAAGGGCCTGGGAGGGGACAGCTGACGCGGCCTCTGCTGTGGTTACCTGGATAGAGGTCAGGCCCCGGCCCGGGGGAGCATCCCACCGCCCCATCAGCAGCAGTGTCGTGCGGGGAGGGGGCCGACTGCAGGGGCTGCACGGTGAGGCAGTCCGAGAGCAGGTCGGGATGGAGTTCTGCGCTGGACCGCAACTAAGAGAGAAAACAGAAGACACGTGAGAAAGGAAAGCTGTCCCTCAGAGTACTTCTGGGGAAAGGCATCATGTCCTAAGGTTCAATGCAATGCAATTCACAAGTATTTATTAAGCAACAGTGGTGGGTCAGGCATTGGGCCTCACAGAGAGTCAATGATGGTTACTTTGCCAACCCTGATAACACCTGGCAGGGATTCTGGAAAACACAGCTGGAGAAGGACTGGACTCCAGTCTTTGAAGTTTCTACTTCTGGGAACCCAGTTTCCTATTATGCTTCCTTTTATTTGCTCTGTATCTAATCGGAACTTGTAGTGATAACAAAAAGAAATTCAAGAATATTCGGTCCAGATTCGAAGGTGCTTTTTTTTTTTTTTAAGATTTTATTTATTTATTTGATAGACAGAGATCACAAGTAGGCAGAGAGGCAGCCAGAGAGAGAGGGGAAGCAGGCTCCCTGTTGAGGAGAGAGCCTGATGCGGGACTCGATCCCAGGACCCTGAGATCATGACCTGAGCCGAAGGCAGCGGCTTAACCCACTGAGCCATGCAGGCGCCCCTGAAGGTGCATTTAAAATACAGACATAGGACCAGGAAGATATCTTGGAGATAACTGAGAAATATCCATTGAGATCTGGTGCCTATAGATTGTACATGAGAGGAAAATACATAGGTTAACTTTTTAAATACAACAGAGCATAATTAAAAGCAAAACTCATGTCATTAGCAGCAACAAAAACCCAACAGTAAGTTACATGGGAAAAAAAAAAAAGCCCGACCTAATTTAGATCTTCATTTTATCACAGTAACAAAATAATTCTTTATATATTAAAGAGTTTCATGTAAGAAAAAAAAATCAAGCCGTAAAAATGTAATAAAGAATAGGCCAAATTTATCTGATTTCCTTATGAAAAAGAATTGTGAGTGTAATTTGAATGGGGAAAAATCATAATGAGAGGTTTAGGTGTAGAATAATATCAACCTTCTGCTTCCATAAAAACATAATACCTTAAAAATATAGAACAATACCACTGTTATGGATACTGCAAATAGTTAGCATCTTCAGTATTTCAAGAGAGCATATGAATTGATTTTGCTTTTATCCAGACAAATCTGAACCTTCAGCTGCATGGCTGGTGTACACTGACTCACCCAACGAGTACTCATGGAGCGTCAGATGCTCCTCCAGGCTCTAGGACCAGTGTGGTACAGAATGTCTACTCTAGAGGGGAGGGAGCCCGTGAGCACCTATAGTACCCCATATCGGGGGCAGCTGACACTGTGGGGAAGCACAGAGCAGGGCAGGGAGACGAGTGCAAGAGGAGGGAAAACAACCTTAGGTGGAGGGGCTGGGGAAGCCTCTTGGAGAGGGCTCTTGTAAAGAGCTTGGAAAGGAGGGAGGACAGGAGTCCTGCAGATTCGTGGGGCAAGAGCCCACCAGTCCCACAGTGTACCTGGATGGTCAGAGAAGAAATAAGACTAGAGTGGGCCAAGCCTGGGGCCTGGAGAAGAGAAACAAGATGGAAGCATCGATGTGGGGGGGGCGGTGTATGTTCCTTAGAACCAGGAAAGGGTGGACTAGATCACTACAGGCTCTTAGAAGCCCGGAAATGACCCAGTGAGGGAGGTGGGACTGCCTCACTGTGTAGCCCTTGATACGAAGAAAAAAGATTTTTTTTTTTTTTTAAAGATTTTATTTATTTATTTGACAGAGAGATCACAAGCAGGCAGAGAGGCAGGCAGAGAGAGAGGAGGAAGCAGGCTCCCCTAGAGAGCAGAGAGCCCGATGCGGGGCTCGATCCCAGGACTCTGAGATCATGACCTGAGCCGAAGGCAGCGGCTTAACCCACTGAGCCACCCAGGCGTCCCCAAG